ATCAGCTTTACGGGATTGTCTGCGTGACACTGAAGATTTAGGAATGAACGTGATAGATTTCAACTATGTATTTTTGCCTCCGTGTAAAGAAAATGAATGCAATGACGAAGTTGGAGATGAAATGTTTAGTGAAGAACAGTGCGATCACATTGAAAATTACAACAATTCTGAAATATCCATGAAACGCAACTGATTTCAAAGTTTGGAAAACGATCCAGTTGTCCAAGATGAAGATTTACTGAATGATCTTTGCATAATTTCGTACTAATCTAAGAAATTTGACAGAGACATACACCTTAGAAGTTTTGATAGTGACGATAATTTTGTTTAGAAAGGTGATCTAGTCAGAATAGGCTTAGATAGTACAACAAAAGTTATAAAAAAGTCTTCACTTTGCTGGCTGTTAGACAACGAAAAGGATCGCGTCAGTGTGGATCGTCTCAAAAGATTTATTCAAAATAAGAAATGTAATAGTAGTAGAGTTAACTCAGAAACAGATACCTGCCTTCAACATAAAGATGCATCTCAAATTCAAAAACCAACCCAAATTGGAAAACAAAAAAGACGCTATAATATATCAAGTGACTCATTTGATTTAGACAACCCAAGTAGTATCGAATATGATGACATCACGGACACCGAAAGTTTGAATTCTTCCAATTATTCTGATGGTTTGAATCCTCGTTTGAATCTCAAGGCTGAAAATAGTAAGACTGATCGTTCTAAACCAGACTTAAATATAGACGATTATACAGGGTGTCTCAGAAATAAGTACATTAATTTTAACCAGTAACAGAACTTGCGAAACGGAACAACTTTTTTATCTAGCATTTTTTCGAAAACTCAAGTCGAATTTCGAATTTTCCCAGCCATATATTCACGAGCCGTCTATGTTCACCTTAAATAATAACTTAAATAACAGCAACACTACAACAATGAAGAAGGTACCGTAGCAACCGTTTTGACACTGACAATCATTTTTATGTCAATGTTTTTATTAAACGTTGTCTCTTTAAAGTTTGTTTGGCACAGATTTCTAATTTATAGACGAAATGTGTTGAAATGGCTTTGTTTTCAAATCTGGAATGCACCGATATCGTTTTAACTAACGTATGGTGAAGCTCGGGGAAACGGCACTCGCGCCCAACGAATTTTTTCAGAAAACCTCCCAAATCGTCTGCCAAATGTGCGCAGTTTTAAGAACGTTGCAGCATTTTCGAGAGTACGGATCTTTTAAACCTGCACCTCAGGATCGGGGTAAGGTACGTAGTAATAGAATTGCTAATATTGAAGAGGCTGTTTTGAAGAGTGTCGAAGCTCGACCGGGCACTAGCACGCATCACTGTCTAGTGTGATGTATCAGAGAGTAGTATTTGGAGGATACTCAGAGAACAAATGTACCCCTTTCAGGACCAGAAAGTTCAGTTATTGAAACTAACACACTTACCACGTAGGCAAAACTTTTGTGAGAGGGTTAATAGAAAAATAAACGAACAAGCAAATTTTGAATCTCTTATACCATCAACTGATGAGGTCGGTTACACGAGGGAAGGTGTTCAACACCCACATTTGGGCCGATGAAATTCCGTACGCCATTAGGGAGCAGGAGTTTCAATTTCTCTCTAAATGTTTGTCACATTGACAAGATTAGGAAAATACGTATCCTAGTAACTGTTTTTGACCATAATAGTATATTATTAGCCAAGGTTGCAGAGCCAAGCATTCTAGACCGAGCGCAAATTAGAACCCGAGACGCGCAGCGTCGAGGGCTCTAAGTGCGAGGTCTAGAAGTGGCTTTGCAACCGTGGTTAATATACTATTTTTTTCACTAGTAGAAACCATAAGACAATAAACTGAAAAATAAACGTTCAATTTTTTGACGCAACGTGATTTTGTTTTGATTTCTAATCAAACTTGGTCTAAATCTTCAACACAAAGAAAACCGTTTATACTTGTCGCTGAGTTAATCATTTTATCTTCTACCGTCTACCAACTACCATGCGTATACTCAAGTAATGTTTGTAGCACACATTTGTTCATTTTTTAAGAAATAATCACATCAAACATTGCGTACATAACCTCAATTTTTCTTTTTGAACCCGTGGTAGCAAAAGTTGAATTTGCTACCACTAAATGAGTCGACATTTGCATGCGTCCAGGCTGCTAGTGAAAAAATTATTAATTACAATAATTATTAGTGTCCATGGGTGACTGAGGATCCATGGGCGGGTAACCTTAATTCGGGTATAACTTCAACAATTTTTAACTTGATAATTAAAAAGTTCTTGACAAAACTCTACTAAAAAAAGTTATTGAGTTCAATGAGCTCTATAACTGATTAAAATTAATGTACTTATTTCTGAGACACCCTGTATTATAGTACAATTAACAATTCAAAAACAAAACAAAAAATGTTACATTGGTAAAGTGTTATCACTTAACCCTATTTTTTGTGATTTTTTGAAAAGGAATCCAAAAATTCCGGATGCTTTTATGTTTCCGGACATTAAAGATCAGGGGGAGATCCAAGAAAATGAATATATGTACAGAGTCATCAAAATTGATTGAGAGAGTTGGTAAACCTGAACTTGAATAATTTGGTTTATTAAGTTGTATAAAAATATTAGCTGTCAGATTTGAAGTTTCAAGTTTCAAATTTCAAAACTCAGTGGCGTCTTTTTTCGATTTTTTTTTTGGTAAAAACATTAGTTGTCAGATTTGAAGTTTCTAATTTTTGTCACGCCACTGAATTCATTGCCATATAACCTTAAACAAATCTGTCATAAGGTTGACAAACTTCACGACAAAAACAGGGGGTACCAACTCTCTCAATCAATTTTGATGACCCTGTATAATGAAACTACCTCCACCTCAGGTACTCAGAAGAGGCAGTATAGTTTTTGAAAAAAAATTATTGAAACAATATTTGATTAATTCTAGTTTTTTTTTAAGTAATGTGATTAAAATTTGTGATAATGTAACCTCAACCTGGGTCGAGATTTGTACAAGTATATATCGTAGAGAATACTAAAATGAGAAACTGTGCAAAATACCTCTGAAAATTTATCCACTCCTTTATTGTGCAAAAAAAAAATTCTTACGTGTTAAATTTTGCATTTCAAAAGTTTTTTTCTAATATGCTTCATTTGAAAGTTGTGAACAAAAAATTAAAAGTGTTATCATCTGTAGCTATGGGTAGCTAGGATTTAGCACAGTTTTTTACTTTAACATCATCTACAATATATACACAAATCTCGATCCAGGTTATGGGGTAAGTATTTTTTAAGAAGTTGTTTTATTTTGTGATATTTTGTTATCATCCAACAGAAATGCTTTACTTTTATGTTTAGAGTTACCGTTTTTTTTAACATTTAATAAAATAAATGAAACTACTTGTTTTTTCTGTTTATGCTACCATAATAAATGAATAAACCCAACTTTTAAAAAGTAATGACTTAAGTTATTATTATAAATTTGATTTAATAGGTCAAACTTTAACATGATCTTGTATGCACAACACAGAGATGAACCTAATAGAATGATTTTGGACTATTTGGTATTCATTAATTAGGTACCTCTGTGAACGTATGAGCCAGTCGTTGTTGCCTTATGAGTCACTGATAAGTAAAAACTGCTGACGTAACTAAAAATATCCTTGGCCTTATGTACTTTTAATTTCGTAAAGTCAAAAGCAAAATTTCATAATATAATTTATTAAAAAATTAGTAATAGGTAATGATATATAATATAATTTATTAAATCTTTGAGTGATTTAAACGAACTAATTTGTACACACCAGACATTTTTAATTTCAAAATTAAAATAGACCATAAGGTTTTCTGACTGAATGTGCAAAAAATTTAGAATATTGCATATGTCCACTTTTAGAACAAACATTTCACCCAAGATAGTGTAAAATTCGAACGTATACTTACTCTATTGATTTAGACATCTGAAACCTCGATTTTAGAGTAGCGTTCTTTTTGTAAGTAAAATCAGATTTTTTTTCATAAACATTTCAGTTTGTTGCTTAGCAGCACAATACATTTTATATTTATTTATTTTTTTCGTCTAAAGGGAAAGCACTTCAGCTTACCTAGTCACCGTACGTTAGTAAACACTTGGTAAAAAAAGATTTAAATTCAACATCATTATCGGCAGAACAAAAAAGTCAAGTTAAAAAAAAGTTAACAATCGCCCTGTAGTACATTATGTAAACAAATTTTGAGAAAATCAAAAAGAAATCATAGGTAATCAAGAGGAAATCACAGGAAATCATAGGAAATCAAGAGGAAATCACAGGAAATCAAAGGAAATCAGAGGAAATCAAAAGAAATCGGGGGAAATCAACAGGAAATCATTGTCAAAAGGAAATCAATTGTACACTTGATGGTCGGCGGTTTACCCCTCGGATAAAGCGATACTTGCTGTCAGCAGGTTAAAACAGATCGATTCTATTTTGCTAATAATTATGTTAGTTCATTAGTGGCACTTAATGTTATAATAAGTGATAATTTCTGCACTACATTCCGTTTGATCTGATAAATATAAATTTCCAGTTAATACATTAATTTAGACTTGAACGTTTTACATGTTGTGGTTTTTAAACAGGTACATTCGAAAAGTTTGGCGTTTTGGATAGGCAGGGTCGAGTTATCACCCGAATATCTGAAGAGCAAAAAAGTTAGGGTCGAACTGTTTTCCGGTACCCTTAGTTCGGCTTATAAAATTAATTCTGAAACAACATTTTTCTTACCAAAATTTCGACAATAAAATTTTTATAATTTTCTATTGTGTAAATTAATGTAAGCCATTTCTTTTTACCAATTTACGTCAAATGTAAATTAAAAATATATCTTAACATGGAAAAGAACGTGCATCATTTTAATACCATAAGTAAGTTAAAAATAGATAAAATTTAAAACAATTTCGTTTAACATCTAGAACAACAATTTACTTCACTTTAGATTTGCTATTCTGAAAAACTTCACTAAGTAGACGTTTTACTTATTTGTAACATTTATTTTGCACGTAAGTAGTTATAAAATTTGGATGTACGTAATCCCCTCTACTTCCACCAGCCAGAAGCGTTAAACGAGGACTGCACCAATATATTTCCAGCGTTAAAGTGCATTTTAAGAAATCTACCTGCTTGACATTAACTTTGTTTTGATAGTCATGCGTAATAAATTGCGGACCTACCTGAGGAGGCACAAAGTGGGTAAGAGCGCATTTCAATAGTTTGCTATCCCTTCTCAAAACATCCACCTTTCTGGATTCAGCGTGTCATTCTGTCAGTGTTCTAATACGATAACCACTACTGATAGCGCTCTGTGTTAACCATACTTTCATGTTCGTATCTGATATCTTAATTTAAACTCCGTGAAAGTCGAAATTGCACGAAAATGAAATTTATTTTGCTGTATATTTTGTTAACAACTGTGTATGGACGGAATTCTAGAAATGTCGAATTTAATGAGTTGCCCGAGGAAAAGTTATTGGACGCAGTTTGCCAAAGTTTTCACAAGGTGAGTACCTAGTTGTTATCATTTTACCTAGTTCTAGTTTTTTAACAGCAAAAGGTTAATTTTGTTGGGCTTGAAATCATTGTTTTCTGCTCTTGAAGTGGCATTTTGAGTTACACACGTGTTGTCCCAAAAGTAAGAGCAATAACAATAAATTTAAATCAACATAATTTTAACATATTTTCTGGTTATTTCTTATTATGTGTTATATAAGTATAATTTATTTCATGTTTTAAAATACAAGTGTCAACAGACAAATGTCATGCATCAATGGCAATGAGACGAATTAAGAAAAAGTTCTTGTAAAAACAATAAAGAAACTACGCTTCAGTAAAAGTTTAATCAAATAGTAATTTATTTTTGATTGTATTATTGTCAGGGCTGTGGAATAAATCTTTTCTTTTAGTTTATGATGTCATTTTGTTTTTTATGTAGCATTTTCCATAACGTTATTTAATGTTCGTAAAATTTGAAATAAACTGTGTGAAAATTCAACCATAGCAAGAAAAGAACAACACAATTTTTTTCCACGTTTTCATTTTATTTCCAAATATATACAGCTAGATTAAGTGTACAAAAAAATTAGAGAGGACCGTACACAAATTTAATGTTTTTCCTCAAAATAGCTTCATTTTAATATTTATTTTATTCAAGAGTTATAAAGCTTCGAATTTTGTTATCAAAATATATCTATGGGTAAGAAATTAATTTTTTTGTGGTCTACATATACCGTAACTAGTATTTTAATTTGGTCGTAATTACAGACCGAATTTATAAGCAGGAACTTTTGGTGAACCATGCACATAATATTTATGTATGAATAAAAATTAGTCTAAAGAGTTTACACAGTGCTTCCCTCGCTGTCGGAAACGTGACGTGGCATTTTTTCTCATTACATTTTTATAGCGGTTATGAGTGCAAACAATTTATTTACAGCACATTATCAACGGGAATACGTTACATCGGAAGAATGTCACGTAGACATTTGTTTGATTTGAATGAGTTTATCGCCCCAAAACAGATGACCAAAATTATTCATAAGCCTCCATTGAACAAAATACTCTGAATGTTATTATTATAATTCTTACCTTATCATTATTTTATTGTTATAAATACGAGCGTAATGTCACATTTTCCAGAAAATGGGGTGGCTCGTTCTTAATTTGATCAATAATAAATTGACTGATTCATTAATTTTTTTGTCACCTGTTTAAGCAAATCTAAAAAATATGATTACTGCTGGCCTTTGGCGGCATTTAAAAATCCCACTCTCTTCTATTTTCTGAATAAGCAAATTTCAAGAAGCCTATCATAATAAAAGCGGTAGGTGAAGGTAGGATTATTTAAGGAAAATCCCATCCTTAGGGTTGTAAACCACTCAGGTAAAACTTTACAATTCAGTTGAAGTATAAATCTTTCACAACCTTCATTTTGAAATCATAAAATTCTCAGTCTAGAAAATAAATACCTACCAAAATTGGAATAGACTAGACCCGAACAGGTAATAAACGCTCAACAAGGTGTTTAGTTTGTTTCCTGCTTGCCGTAGCCCTAAATGGGTCTTTTAATCCTTTTCGCATATCTTTTACCTGCGAAGACACCCATAAATTGAGGACCGACTTATGATCACCTGACCATATTTCAATCGCTACTCGGAAATCATTTGCGTTTGTAATTGTACTTAAATAAATTTTTTAGATTTTTTTTTTCACTCTTCTTAAATACAAATTATGAGGTACAACGTGACAACGTCGTAAAAGTACAATGTGGTGAGTCCACCCAATATTTTGGAACCAATCAGAACTAGGGGCATGTAGGTATCTAATAATTTTTAAAATACACAAATAGCGCTACCATTGTCCACTATTTTTTACCTATGTTTGTTCCTGAGAAGATTGTATGTGAATTTCCATTTTTAAGAATTTTTTAGTTTTACCCACGCCAATTTTAATCATCCGGTCAACGTAATAACATTTTAGAATTTTACCGAGTAAATTTTATTTAATTTATATTATATATATTTAGGTTTTTAAGATTATCGTAAGCTTGGTAAATCGTTAATCAAAATTTTTCGTTTAAGGCCTTTCGAAAAAATTATGACGTCATCTTAGAATTCTGCCGAACGAATAAATGTTCTTTAAATTTTATAAAATAACATAGTTCCGCATGTGTGATTTATGCATCCGTGTTGATTTTTTACCCTTAGCATCCAGATTGTTGGGAAAAAATCAACATTGCATAACAATTTGATGACGTTCATCTCAAACTTTTACAAAGCAAATATTACTTAATTTTTATAAAATAGTATACTTCTTTAGGTGTGGTTTATGAATCCCCTTTGGTGATCTAGATAACTTTAGACCGTTTTTTAACGAGGGGAATAAATGACAATTTTTTTTATTGTAAACTTGAGAAAAAAAATCATAATAATTCAGAACCCAAAATCTGTTAAAATTTTACTTGAACTAGTTACAGATTCACCGATTATAAAGTTGTGGGTTCTCGAATACAAAATCTCTTGAATATATTCAGTCACGTCTGGGTTTCTGCGCGTTTGAATTTTCAATTGTTTACGATTATACTATAGACATAAATTAATTATTATTCAGACGGCACCTAAATGATTTGTAAATTTAAACCCTTAATGCATAAACGTTGAATAATTTTGTTTACATTTGAAATTATTGTCTACTGGGCTAATTCCTGTACCTGTCACTTTTTAAGATTAAAATCGAAATATGGTAAACAACTAAGTACTGAATTTCTGATCTGAATAAAAATTCGTTTTAATTCAAATTAAATTTAGATGTTTACAAAAGTGGCAAGTGTTAAGTGCAATGATTATAGTTTAGAGTTCATTTACTTTAATAAAATGAGGTTGGTAATTTTGAAATTCATAGTACAACAATAAACACTTAATTTTGGCATTTGGTTCATGCATGGTTTGGCATTTTGCAATAATCTTTGATTATGTACTGCCAGTGGTATTTCGTTTTTCTAGAATTTTCATTATGGCTTCGTATTGATAGGATGATGTAATATTCTTGACATCGTAGCCGGAATTAAAAGCAGCCAGGAAGTTGACAAGTTCAAAGGTCACTTTATTTTGACCGCAGAATTCAGATCGACGTATAAAGCACAAGTTTTTAGCATTTTAAAAAAATCGGCAGCTAAACAATCCAAGTTTTGAAGATTATTAATATGAAGCAAAAACAAAAGTTACGATAACAATATAAATAAAAAAAAATTAAGTCACATTAAGTTAATTTTATTTCCGGACTAAAACTGAACGTATGGTAAATTATAATTACAATGTACACAGTACTGTGGCATTATTGAAATTTCAAGATGTTGGCACAATATAACTGTCTAAAAATGTACCTTAGAGATACTCATGTTTCTTTTTTGCAGAAGATTGGAACTAACGAAACTGTTTGCCGCACTTCTCCTCCCTGTGACTGGAGTAACGAGACCCTGACTGGTAAGTATTAATCAAATGTTTGTACCCATAGTATTACATTTTTATAAAAAATTTAACAAATATGTGATTTTTCGATTTTTGTTTTTCCCATTTTGTGGTTTTTCGTTTTTTCTGTTTGTTTTAGTTTTTATGGTTCTGCAATTTTTTATTGTTTCATTTTTCGATTATTTTATTTTCCGATATTTTGATTTTTGAATTTTCGGTTTTTCCATTTTTCGTTTTGGGGTTTTTCAATTTTTCGGTTTTTTAATAAAGTTAAAAGTTTAGGTCCTAAAGCTCTGCAATATCTAGAGATCAACGAATACAACACTTTTAAAATTTCGTTGCATTTAAATTATTGTTAGCGTTTGGAAAATTCCAGTGTTTACTAAAATTGTGGCTGTAATTTGTTTCTACGGCTTAACTACAATTAACACTGATTAACTATTTATTTTTATTGGGGTTAACAATATCACTTGGATTTTCGATTTTTTAATTTTTCGTTTTTTTGATTTTTTGGTGTTTCGATTTTTTGATTTTCCATTCTTCCAATTTTCGATTTTTCGTCTTTCCATTTTTAGATTTTCTGATTTTTTTGTTCGTCAGTTTTTAGATTTTGCAGTTTTTTTGCATTTTTCGATTATATTTTACTTTCCGATTTTTTTGATTTCTGAATTTTCGATTTTCCGTTTTTAATTCTTCGATTTCCGATTTTTCAATTTTCCGGTTTTTTAATTTTTCTATTCTCGATTTTTCGATTTTTCAATTTTAGATTTTTCGATTTTCCATTTTCTGATTTTTCGATTTTCGATTTTTCGATTTTCGATTTTTCGATTTTCGATTTTTCGATTTTCTTTTTCCGATTTTGTAGTTTTTCGATTTTTCTGTTTGTTTCAGTTGTTAGGGTTCTGCAATTTTTTTATTTTTCCATTTTTCGATTATTTTACTTTCCGAAATTTTGATTTTTGAATTTTCGGTTTTTTAATTTTTCGATTCTTGATATTTCGATTTTCGTTTCAGATTTGTGGATTTCCGTTTTTTCGTTTTTTCGATTTTCATTTCTACAATTTTTAATTTTGCTCTTTTCGATTGTTGCTTTTTAGAATTTTTCCCTTGTTCAGCTTTCAGGTTTCAATTTTGTTACTTTCCGATTTTTCACTTTTCGATTTTCTGATTTTCAGAATTTTCAAGTTTCAATTTTCAGATTTTCGATTTTTCTATTTTTCAGTTTTCGATTTTAAACTTTTCGATTTTTCGATTTTCATTTTTCCGATTTTTTGAATTTTCAATTTTTAAGCTTTGCAATTTTTTTACTTTTCGCTTTTTCGATTTTTGATTTCCAATTTTCGATTATTTTAATTTCGGATTATTCGATTTTTGAATTTTCGTTTTTTTTTCATTTTTCGATTTCGGATTTTTTAATTTTTCGATTTTTCGGTTTTTTAATTTTTCGATTCTCGATATTTCGATTTTCGATTTTTCGGTTTTCCAATCTTCGATTTTTCAATTTCCGATTTTCGATTTTCCACTTTTTGATTTTACGATTTCTCGATTTTTCTGTTTGTCAGTTTTTAGAGTTTGCAATTCTTTTATTTCTCCATTTTTCGATTATTTTACTTTCCGCTATTTTGATTTTTGAATTTTCGATTATTTGGTTTTTCCATTTTTCGATTTGCGATTTTTCAATTTTTAATTTTGCGATTTTCGATTTTTCGATTGTTGATTTTTGGAATTCTAGATTTTTCTATTTTTCATTCTTCAGCTTTTATACTTCATTTTTATTGCTTTCCGACTTTTCAGAGAATTTTCAAGTTTCAGATGTAACGTAATATAATAATAATAACAATAATAATGTAATTTCGATTTTTCTATTTCAGTTTTTCGATTTTAGATATTCGGATTTTCGAGTTTTGGGTTTTTTTCGATTTTTCGATTATCGTTTTTTCTATTTTCCATTTTTCGATTTTACTTTCCAATTTTTTGATTTTTGAATTGTCGACTTTTAGAGTTTTCAATATTATGAATTTTCGGTTTTCCCATTTTTCGATTTTTCAATTTTTCGGTTTTTTGATTTTTCGATTCTCGGTTTTTCAGTCTTGCGAATTTTCCACCTATTTGATTCATTGAATTTTCGATTTTCTGTTTTTCCGTTTTTAGATTTTCGATTTTTCAGTTTTGTATTTTCAGATTTTGTTTTTCGCATATCTGATTCATCAAATTTTCGAATTTTCGGCTTTACAAATTTTTCGATACTTGATTTTCGAATTTTCGATTGTTCAGTTTTTCCATTCTTCAGCTTTTAGGCTTCAATTTTTTTACTTTTCGATTTTTCGAATTTTCTAGTTTCAATTTTTAGATTTTTGATTTTTCGATTTTCCATTTTAAATCTTTCAATTTTTCGGTTTTGATTTTTAATTTTTCCATTCTACGGTTTTTAGACTTCAATTTTCTTTCTTTTAAATTTTTCGATATTCTATTTCCGCTTTTCAGAATTTTCGATTTTCAGTTTTCAGTCTTTCGATCATTAGAATTTTGGATTTTTCAGTTTTATGATTTTTGGATTTTTAGAAAATTTGAGTAGTCGAATTTTCGATTTTTCAATTCATCGATTTTTCTATGTTCAATTTTTCAATTTTAATTTTGCGATTTTCAGTATGTTCATTGTCGATTTTTAGAATTTTCGGTTTTATAATTTTTTCATTCTTCAACTTTTAGACTTCAATTTTGTTACTTTCCGATTTTTTGCGTTTCGATTTTCCAATTTACAGAATTTTCAAGTTTATTATTCAGATTTTCGATTTTCCAGTTTTTGGATTTTCGTTTTTTCGATTTTTGCTTTTTGGATTTTTTTGTCCGTTTCAGTTTTTAGGCTTTGCAATTGTTTTACTTTTCGTTTTTCGATTATTTTAATTTCCGATTTTTTTGTTTTTGTTTTTTATTTTTTTCGTATGTTTCGTCCTTTTCGTCCTTTTTCGTCCTCTTTCGTCCTATTCGTCGTTTTGGAATTTTTGGTCCTTTTCGTCCTTTTTCGTCCTTTTCGTCCTATTTCCTCCTTTTCGTCCTTTTCGTTCTTTTTCGTCCTTTTCGTCCTTTTTCGTCCTTTCCCTCTTTTTACGTCCTTTTTCGTCCTATTCGTCATTTTTGTATTTTTCGTCCTTTTCGTCCTCTTTCGTCCTTCTCGTTTTTCGCATCCTTTTACGTCCGTTTTCGTCCTTTCTCATGATTTTCGTCCTTTTCATCCTTTATCATCCTTTTTCGTCCTTTTGGTCCTTCATCATCCTTTTTTCGTCCTTACTCATCCTTTTTAGTCATATTTCGTCCTATTTCATCCTATTTCGTCCTTTTCGTCCTTTTCGTTCTTTTTCGTCCTACTTCGTCCTTTTTCATCCTACTTCGTCCTTTTTCGTCCTACTTCGTCCTTTTTCGTCCTATTTCGTCCTATTCGTCATTTTCGCCATTTTCGCATTTTTCGTCCTTTTCGTCCTTTTTCGTCCTCTTTCGCCCTTCTCGTCCTTTCTCATCCTTTTTCGTCCTTACTCATCCTTTTTCGTCCTATTTCGTCCTATTTCGTCCTTTTAACGTCCTTTTTCGTTCTTAATCGTCCTTTTTCGTCTTTTCTCGTCCTTCCTCGTCCTCTTTCGTTCTTTTTCGTTTTTTTCGTCCTTTGTCCTTGTTCGTTCTTATTTCTTACTTACTTACTTACTTACTTACTTACTTACTTACTTACTTACTTACTTACTTACTTACTTACTTACTTACTTACTTACTTACTTACTTACTTACTTACTTACTTACTTACTTACTTACTTACTTACTTACTTACTTACTTACTTACTTACTTACTTACTTACTTACTTACTTACTTACTTACTTACTTACTTACTTACTTACTTACTTACTGTTCTCTTTCGCTTTTTTCACCCTTTGCCGTCCCTTTTCGTCTTTTCTCGTCCTGTTTCGTCCTTTTTCGTCCGTTTGCCGTTCTTTTTCGTCCTTTCTGTCCTTTTCCTCCTTTTTCGTGCTTTTTCGTCCTTCTCTTCCTTTTTTCGTCCGTCTTCGTTCTTTTTCGTCTTTCTTTGTCCTGTTTCGTCCTTTTCGTCTTTTTTCGTCCTTCTTTGACCTATTTCGTCCTTTTCGTCCTTTTTAGTCCTTCTTTGTCTTTTTTCGTTCTTTTCGTCCTTTTTCGTCCTTTTTCGTCCTCTTTCGTCCTTTTTCGTCCTTCTTCGCCCTTCATTGTCCTTTTTCGTCCTTTTCGTCCTTTTTTGTCTTTTTGTCCTTCATTTTTTCAAATTTCTGCCTTTTTGAATTTTCGATTTTTCAATTTTTCAGTTATTTGATTTTTCGATTCTCGATATTTCGAATTTTTGATTTTTCGATTTTTCAGGTTTGTGAATTTCCACTTTTTCGATCGCCCTAGGTATTTGATTAATTGAATTTTCGATTTTTTGGTTATCCATTTTTAGATTTTCGATTTTTACGATTTGTGTTTTTCGATTTTCGATTTTGCGCATATTTGATTAATCAAATTTTCGTTTTGTCGGCTTTCCCATTTTCTGATATTTGATTTTAGAATTTTGATCTTTTTTTCCATTTTTCAGCTTTAAGACTTCAATTTTGTTACTTTTCAATAGTCCGAATTTTCGAGTTTCAATTTTCAGATGTTTGATTTTTCGATTTTCCATTTTAGATTTTCCAATTATTCGATTGTGGATTTTTCGAATTTTTGAATTTTAATTTTTTCATTCTTCGGTTTTTAGACTTTAATTTTCTTTCTTTCTCTCCGATTCTTCGATATTCGACTTTCCGCTTTACAGAATTTTTCAGTATTGCGATTTTTTGATTTTCGATGTCTCAATTCATCTGTTTTCGATGTTCAATTTTTCAATTCAAGAGTTTTCGATTTTTCGGTTTTCCATTTTCAATTTTTCAGATTTGTGAATTTTCAATTTTTCGGTCGACCTAGCTATTTGATTCTTTGAATTTTTGATTTTCCGGTTTTTCTATTTTTAGGTTTTTGTAATTTTCTGTTTTTTCATTCTTCAGCGTTTAGACTTCAATTTTGTTACTTTTCGATTTTCTGAATTTTCGAGTTTTAATTTCAATTTTCAGATTTTTATTTTTCGAATTTTTGATTTTTAATTTTTCCCTTCTTCGGTTTTTAGACTTCAATTTTCGTTCTCTTCGATTTTTCGATTCTTCAATTTTTAAAATTTCGAAATTTCGATTTTTCGATGTTATTTTTCAATGCAAGAATTTTCGATTTTTCAATTTTCAATATTTTGATTTTTGGATTTTTCCATTTTCGTTTGTTCAATGTTTGATTTTAGGTATTAACAATGTTACTTATTTCTTGCAGGTTTTCAAATTAAGGCGAATTTAACCGTACCAAAACTGATATGTAAAGAAAATGACTTAATTCACGTTGCATGGAAAAGGAAAGATGATTTCGTATATTTTTTAGAAACCACCGGAGAAGAATTTACGAATTTCACTAATGCGGTAAGTATTTTAAAATGTGTGTTTATATCAGTAATATCTAGGACATCCAACAATGACCTTTTCCGAGTCAAAAATTAAAAAAACACCACCTGTTGAAGTAAGTTGGTACCAAACAAAACTCCTCTAGGGCTTATTTTACACTAGCAAGTTGGTAGTATAAGAGACTTCAAATTTGAAATTTCTTGACAAATAAAAACCATGATCATCCTAACCTCTTTTTTTTTGACAGAACGCCTTGGCACCAAAAATCTCCCTAGACAATGTTGTCAGTTGAGTTTTCGTACTATGTTGCCGGTTGAGCGGTATTTTAATTTTGACCAGATATTAGATAGTTATTGTTATTATTATATTTAGGAAAAATATTGTTTCTGATATACGATCTTCTTGTTTTAGACAACATGTGATCGGTACACGCTAACCGATCTCAATCAAGCTACTAACTACACAATTCGTTTGTGGGCTGCATCATTTTCCAAGAAACAAATTATGTATAGTGGTACTGTGAACATTAAAACGTCTGACAAAGATTTAATCCCGTCACCAGTGACGCGTTTTTCCGTTCAAAATATAACTTGCGAAGATCTTTCGTGTTTTGCTGTTGCTGAGTGGAGTCCAAATTTGGGTAAGTTTTTTTCGAAAAAATTGTCAAAATTGAAGCATTTACGAGTAGTTCCAACCTAATATTATCTGTACATTTATTTTTATTTTTTATTTTCAAGATTATTCGTGCCAATATGATCTTGTTTGGCACGAAAAAGATACGCTCGATCAGGACAGGATTAATGTTGTAAGTTTTTGAAATATTTATTACGTTGATCTACGTGTAGAACAGTCGGAGCTGATTCTTTGGTTATGCAATTGTACATATTTCTACGTTCACTGATACGAATTATAATGTAAACTGTCATTTAGGTAAACATGACATCTCATAATGTTCAGTTTGTTCTAATTTTTATATTTTCTACTTCACTCCGCTTACAATTTTTCATACTTTTAACTGCTAGGTATCATATATGCTACATAACGCAATGGGAAACTTTAGTAATTTTTGCTGTATAAACTAATATTCGTATGTAATAACAGATTTCAGGTGGTCACCGGTTAGTCTTAAAAGATTTAAAAGTTGACGCAGATTATCATGCCTTTATCGTCGCTAGAAATGGAGATTCATCAAATGAGAGTCCCAAGCAAACGATTGATTTCCGTACACCAACATGTTTGGAAACACACCGTAGTCTAGAAAAATGTCGTAAGTATTCCAGCATTTTTTACACTTGCAAAGTAGCCTCGATTGTAGGTAAACAATGAATTTGTAAATTAACTCAGTGTAATGACGAGAACAATTGATGTAAATTGGTTTGAGTTTCTGTGGACTTCAGTTTATGGGTTTCCTATTTATACGACAGATCGATAATTTGTCCCTACTTGCACATGATATCACTGCTTTTTAAAGCATTTCTTACGAAATGGGAGCAAGAATCTGAAAAGTCGTATATGTATCTGTCGAAATTATGTTCATTTGTTTATATATAACGTAATTATAGTAATTATCAATGTTTTATTACGATTTATGTTACTAACAAGTATCTAGTCATAGTTATTCCCGAAATGTACTTGAAATTCTTTTGTTTAGGTCCTGAAGCTCCGCAAGATCTAGTCATCAACGAAACTCCGGTCGAGTCGTCTGAGAAAATCTTAATATATGATGTTCACCTTAAGTGGCAAAAACCTCACTTAATACCTCAGTATTATATCGCCAATTTCAGCAATTTCGTGAATGAAAACAGAACTAATTTAGTGATTGAAAACGGAACTGAAACCTTAACTATTACTGGGGTGAGTATATTATTTTATTTTATTTTAGAATCATCTTGTTTATATGCATCAAATGCGGGCATAAATTGGCCTTTATGGCCCAGACCATTAAAAAATAAAATAAATAAACATGGGGTTTAATTTTTGGCTTGTTTTTTTCTTAATATACATATTTTTTGTATTCTTTTGAATAACACGGTACTCACAAACATGTTTTTTTATTTCTTGTAGAGAAATACGGTGTTTGCAATTAAGCTTCGCCCGTTTGACTCACGATGAATAAAAAAATCATCAGAATTGAGACAGGGCGGGTGGGCGGGGTTTTTATTTTGCCTTTTTTTTTCTTAATATACTTAGCCATCTTTTCACAACAAGAAACTTAGAACATAGTAAAAATGATTTTTTAAAATTGATATTTCCTTATACAAATTTATCATTTTAAACATGTTTTAAGTTTCATGCTGTGAAATGCATTCTACACATATTAAAACAAAAAGGCAAAACGTAATTACTTTACAAGAAATTAAAAACACGTTTTTGAGTATCGTGTTGTTCAAAGAATACTATGTATATCAAGAAAAAAAGACAAAATATAATTGAGATAGGGTGGGTGGGCCGGGCTACATTTTGCCTTTATTTCGTAATATGTGTAGAGTTATTTCGACAACAAGAAAGTTAAAACATGGTTAAAATGGTAAATTTTTTTAAGGAAATGTGAAAATCGTTATTTCTTTATACAAATTTAACAGTTTAAACATGTTTTAAGTTACATGTTGTGGAAAAAAGTCTGCACATATTAAAACAAAGAGGCAAAATATAAGCCCGCCCACCCACCCTATCTCAATTGTAAGGACATTTTTTATTCGGCGTGAACCAAGGGGGCAGAGCATAACTGCAAAATACTTATTTCTTTACAAGAAATTAAAAACATGCTTTGAGTATCGTGTTGTTCAAAGAATACTATGTATATTAAAAAAAAAGACAAAATATAAACCCCGCCCACCCACCCCATCTCAATTGTGATGATTTTTTTTTCCTATACTTAAACTTGAAACACGTTTAAAATGGTAAATTCCTGTAACGAAATATGGATTTTGCAATTAGGCTCCCCCCTAGGTCTGCCAACGAATGAAAACTTCATTGCTATTTAGATCAGGGCAAATATTGATAGCGTTTAATCTTTGGCTTTAATTTTTTATTAATATACATAGTCGTCTTTGAACAACACGAAACTCAGAAACATGTTTTTAATTTCTCGTAGAGAAACAAGGATTTTGCAGTTAAGCTCCTCCTTCTTGGCTCACGACGAATACAAAAAATCATCACAATTGAGATAGGGTGGGTGGGCGGGGCTACATTTTGCCTTTTTTTATCTTAACATGTGTAGATTTATTTCGACAACAAGAAACTTAAAACATAGTTAAAATGGTACATTTGTGCAAGGAAATACGGTTTTTGCAATTACGGGGCGCAGCCTAATTGCAAAATGGATATTTCTTAATACAAATTTAACATTTTAATCATGTTTTAAGTTACATGTTATGAAAATGTCTACAAATATTAAAACAAAAAGGTAAAATGCAGCCCCGCCCACCCGCCCTATCTCAATTGTAATGATTGTTTTTATTCGCCGTGAACCAAGGGGGCAGAGCTTAACTGCAAAATACTTATTTCTTTACGCGAAATTAAAAACATGTTTTTGGGTATCGTGTTGTTCAAAGAATATTATGTATATTAAAAAAAAAGAGACAAAATATAAACCCTGCCCACTCACCCCATCTCAATTGTGATGATTATTTTTATTCTTAGAAACTCGAAACACCTTAGAATGGTAAATTTTTGCAAGAAAATATAGATTTTGCAATTAGGCCCCGCCCCTATAGGTCTGCCAACGAATGAAAACTTTGCTATTAAGATCAAGGCAAATATGGATGGCGCTTAATCTTTCGCTTTAATTTTTTATTAATATACATATTATTCTTTTAACAATATGATACTCAAAAGCATGTTTTTAATTTCTCGTAGAGAAAGGATTTTGCAGTTAGCTTCGCCTTCTAGGCTCACGACGAATAAAAAAAAAATCATCACAATTGAGATAGGGCGGGTGGGCGGGGCTCCAATTTGCCTTTTTTTTTAACATATGTGTAGACTTATTTCGACAACAAGAAAGTTAAAACATGGTTAAAATGGTAAATTTTTGTAAGGAAATATGAAAATCGGTATTTCCTTATACAAATTTAACATTTTAAATATGTTTTAAGTTACATGTTGTGAAAAAATGTCTACACATAAATTAAACAAAAGGGTAAAATGTAGCCCCACCCACCCGCCCTATCTCAATTGTAATGATTTTTTTTATTCACTGTGAACCAAAGGGGCAGAGCTTAACTGCAAAATACTTATTTTTTTAGAAGAAATTAAAAACATGTTTTTGAGTATCGTGTTGATCAAAGAATACTATGCATATTAAGAAAAAAAGACAAAATATAGACCCCGCCCACCCTCCTCATCTCAACTGTGATGATTTTTTGTATTCTTAGAAATTTAAAACACATGGTAAAGTTTTGCAAGAAAATATGGATTTTCCGCCCCTAGGTGTGCCAAAGAATGAAAACTTCATTGCCATTTAGATGAGGGCAAATATGAGTGGCGCTTAATCTTTCGTTTTAATTTTTTCTTAATAGACATAGTATTCTTTTAACAACACGATACTCAAAAGCATGTTTTTAATTTCTCGTAGAGAAAGGATTTTGCAGTTAGCTTCGCCTTCTTGGCTCATGACGAATAAAAAAAAAATCATCACAATTGAGATAGGGTGGGTGGGCGGGGCTACATTTTGCCTTTATTTCTTAATATGTGTAGAGTTATTTCGACAACAAGAAAGTTAAAACATGGTTAAAATGGTAAATTTTTTTAAGGAAATGTGGAAATCGTTATTTCTTTATACAAATTTAACAGTTTAAACATGTTTTAAGTTACATGTTGTGGAAAAAAGTCTGCACATATTAAAACAAAAAGGCAAAATATAAGCCCGCCCACCCACCCTATCTCAATTGTAATGACATTTTTTATTCGGCGTGAACCAAGGGGGCAGAGCATAACTGCAAAATATTTACTTCTTTACAAGAATTTAAAAACATGCTTTGAGTATCGTGTTGTTCAAAGAATACTATGTATATTAAAAAAAAATTGGTCTAAAGAGTTTAGACAGTACTTCCCTCGCTGTCGGAAACTTGACGACTGCATGCCTATTGTGTTTTTTTTTCTCATTACATTTTTGTAGTGGGAATTTAAAAAAAAAATTGTGATGACGTCATCAACATTTTTGCAAGAACACGTATATCAGTTGGGATAGATGTAGTGTAATACTAAGAATAAAATTATTGTATTCCCAAATTTTCGGGAAAATGAATTGGGTCGTTTTGAATATTGATTTCTTATGATTAGAGCTGTGCGGTTGAAATTTATTTACCCCCACTATCGGCCCACAGTGCCGATCGCTACACAGCCTTGCCTTGCTCGCTTCTCGCTTTTCAGTTGTGGATTATTTTTGATAATTCACACAAATAGTTTTATTGTCAGCGAGACGGACACCTGAACATTATTAAAATTATGATTACTCTTATTTCGTGAATATGGATTTTAAAATCATCAACTGACATGCCGTTAGCATTATTTTTCGCCTAATTTTCTTCGCGATACATCACGTCGGTTGCAAGCCTATGGCCTGCCGGAGTGGGGGTCAATTCGCAGCGTTTAAATTTCAACCGCACAGCTCTACTTATAATCAATAAAATAACGAAACAATTTACTCACGTATACGGCGCCGGTGTGTAATATCTAGAGAGCGGATTTCTGTCGGGCTAGGTAAGGCCAAACTCGGTACGGCTCGTACGGGATGCGAATTCATTGCGGTTGCGGACTGCACTTCGTTTATTTAAGATTAGAATAACGCTGTTTCGTTGCACTCTGCTGTTAATTCCCGTTCTCATTTACTTAGCCGTTTGATTAATAAATCGTTAATTATATTTATGGAATTAGTACCGATTAAATTTAGTGATTATCTATCACCCGGCAATCCAGCACGTCCCCCCCTATAATCGTGACGTAGCCCGACACAAATCCGCTGTCTAGTAATATGAGGGGCAACTGAAAATCGTTTATGTATAAACATTCTTAATTTAAGATGACAAGCGTAACAGCATACGTGAGAGTCAAACAGAGAAACTGTAAACAAAACGACCATCGGTTTTATTGCTTCGACTTCCGCTTATTATATAAAACATTGCGTTTTATTTTAATTCTTGACGGTGAAATTCACAATTGGTTGATTATAAACATGTCTATTCTACATTCGCGGAACCAAGTGAGCGCATAAAACAAATGCAGGTCTGTAATGTTAAAATCGATGTAAATAAGCGTGCTACCCTTATGTTTCAACCGAGTTTTTCCTTTAACAAATTTTGTGTCTACCAAATTGGGTTGGTTGGGGTGTAATACTAATAATAAGTGTTGCCTTTAATTTAATCAATAAAATAAATTGACTTCATTAATTTTTTTGAACCACCTCTTAAGAAAATCTAAAAAATATGAATGGAATGATAAATCACAAGTACAAACTCATCATATTTTTTGCATTTTAGATAGGATTTATTCAGCAAAATTTAAGGGTGACGTCATCAATTTTTTTAGGAGGGATGAACAAATACATTTTGAACAAAAGTTTACCATGCTTATAATAACTTTAAAATATTCCCAAGATTTCAAAGCATTCGGTTTTGTAATTCCTGATTAAATCGATAAAATAAATTCACGCATTCATTAATTTTTTTGAGTCACCCTGTATATGCAAGTCCAAAAAATATGAATGGAGTAATAAATTACAAGTACAGACTCATCATATTTTTACAGTTTAGATAGGATTTATTCGGCAAACTTTCGAGCTGACGTCATCAATTTTTTGGAGGGGATAAGCAAATATATTTTGACTAAACATTTATTATGCTCTTTATAACCTTAAAACATCTGCAAGATTTCAAACCGAATGCTCTGAAATCTTGCAGATGTTTTAAGGTCATAAAGAGCATAATAAATGTTTAGTCAAAATATATTTGCTTATCCCCTCCAAAAACTTGATGACATCAGCTCGAAAGTTTGCCGAATAAATCATATCTAAAATGTACAAAATATGATGAGCCTGTACTTGTCATTTATCACTCCATTCATATTTTTTGGATTTGCATATACAGAGTGACTCAAAAAAATTAATGAATGCGTAAATATATTTTATTGATTTAATCAGAAACTACAAAACGGATTGCTCTGACATCTTGCACATGTTTTAAGGTTATAAAGAGCATAATAAATGTTTAGTCAAAATATATTTGCTTATCCCCTCCAAAAACTTGATGACGTCAGCTCGAAAATTTGCCGAATAAATCATATCTAAAATGTACAAAATATAATCAGTCTGTACTTGTGATCTATCACTCCATTCATATTTTTTGGATTTGCATGTACAGGATGATTCAAGAAAATAAATGAAAGCGTAAATTTATTTTACTGATTTACTCAGGAACTACAAAACCGAATGCTTCAAAATCTTGAAGATATTTTAAAATTATCATAAGCATGGTAAATTTTTGATCAAAACGTATTTGGTCGTCCCCCCTAAAAAATTTATGACGTCACCACAAAATTTTGCTGAATAAATCCTATCTAAAATGTACAAAATATGGTGAGTCTCTTCTTGTGATTTATCATTCCATTCAAATTTTTTCGATTTGCATATACAGGGTGACTCAAAAAAATTAATGAATGCGTAAATTTATTTTATTGATTTAATCAGGAACTACAAAACCGAATGCTTTGAAATCTTGCAGATGTTTTAAGGTCATAAAGAGCATAATAAATGTTTAGTCAAAATATATTTGCTTATCCCCTCCAAAAACTTGATGACGTCAGCTCGAAAGTTTGCCGAATAAATCATATCTAAAATGTACAAAATATGATGAGCCTGTACTTGTCATTTATCACTCCATTCATATTTTTTGGATTTGCATATACAGAGTGACTCAAAAAAATTAATGAATGCGTAAATATATTTTATTGATTTAATCAGGAACTACAAAACGGAATGCTCTGACATCTTGCACATGTTTTAAGGTTATAAAGAGCATAATAAATGTTTAGTCAAAATATATTTGCTTATCCCCTCCAAAAACTTGATGACGTCAGCTCGAAAATTTGCCGAATAAATCATATCTAAAATGTACAAAATATGATCAGTCTGTACTTGTGATCTATCACTCCATTCATATTTTTTGGATTTGCATATACAGAGTGACTCAAAAAAAAAATCGGTTGTCTGTAAAGTCGGTTTACTGACGATAGTTGAACGTGACAACGTCTTAAGAAAATACTGATGGAATGGTAGCATTTTTCAAAAGAAAATTTTAATTTCATTTGTTTAATAGATTTGTATGTATATAGAGAAGGAGGTAATTAGAAATCACAATGAAATTGATCAAGTTAGATTTATTTATACGCATAAATACAATTATGTCAATTTTTTTAGTTTAATGTGTCTTGAAAAAATTGACACTACATTCACTTTTCACTGCACTTGATACTCGACCAAAACATGTCAATGTACTATAATATAGCAGCTGTCCACGCAGACGCATCGCTCACTCAAGTAGGAGAGAGACGGATGGCGAACGCTGCCGAACGCGAAGGCCGATTGTGCCTCTTTGTCGCTCGTTCCGCGTTCTCGCTTGCACTTCAAGCCTTACACGGGACGCCTCAGAGCGAGGTAACGCCACATGAGTCATGCTTTTTCGTGCGTGCAGCCGGCTCCATCGATTTATAAGACGTTGTCACGTCAAAAATTAATGAATGCGTAAATTTATTTTATTGATTTAATCAGGAACTACAAAACCGAATGCTTTGAAATCTTGCAGATGTTTTAAGGTTATAAAGAGCATAATAAATTTTTAGTCAAAATATATTTGGTTATCTTCTACAAAAAACTGATAACGTCAGCTCAAAAGTTTGCCGAATAAATCGTATCTAAAATTTACAAAATATGATGAGTCTGTACTTGTGATTTATCATTCCATTCATATTTTTGGATTTGCATATGCAGGGTGACTCAAAAAAATTAATGAAGGCGTGAATTTATTTTATCCATTTAATCAGGAATTACAAAACCGAATGCTTTGAAATCTTGGGAATATTTTAAAGTTATTATAAGCATGGTAAACTTTTGTTCAAAATGTATTTGTTCATCCCTCCTAAAAAAAATGATGACGTCACCCTTAAATTTTGCTGAATAAATCCTATCTAAAATGCAAAAAATATGATGAGTTTGTACTTGTGATTTATCATTCCATTCATATTTTTTAGATTTTCTTAAGAGGTGGTTCAAAAAAATTAATGAAGTCAATTTATTTTATTGATTAAATTAAAGGCAACACTTATTATAAGTATTACACCCCAACCAACCCAATTTGGTAGACACAAAATTTGTTAAAGGAAAAACTCGGTTGAAACATAGGGTAGCACGCTTATTTACATCGACTTTAACATTACAGACCTGCATTTGTTTTATGCGCTCACTTGGTTCCGCGAATGTGAAATAGACATGTTTATAATCAACCAATTGTGAATTTCACCGTCAAGAATTAAAATAAAACCCAATGTTTTATATAATAAACGGAAGTTGAAGCAATAAAACCGATGGTCGTTTTGTTTACAGTTTCTCTGTTTGACTCTCACATATGCTGTTACGCCTGTCATCTTAAATTAAGAATGTTTATACATACACGATTTTCAGTTGCCTCTGATACGTATACGTGAGTAAATTGTTTCGTTATTTTATTGATTATTACAAATCAATATTCAAAACGACCCAATTCATTTTCCCGAAAATTTGAGAATATAATAATTTTATTCTTAGTATTACACTACATCTATCCCAACTGATATACGTGTCCTTGCAAAAATGTTGATGACGTCATCGCAATTTTTTTTTAAATTCCCACTACAAAAATGTAATGAGAAAAAAAACACAATAGGCATGCAGTTGTCAAGTTTCCGACAGCGAGGGAAGTACTGTCTAAACTCTTTAGACCAATTTTTTATTAATATACATAGTCGTCTTTGAACAACACGAAACTCAAAAACATGTTTTTAATTTCTCGTAAAGAAACAAGGATTATGCAGTTAAGCTCCTCCTTCTTGGCTCACGACGAATAAAAAAAATCGTTACAATGGAGATAGGGCGGGTGGGTGGGGCTACATTTTGCCTTTTTTTATCTTAACATGTGTAGATTTAATTCGACAACAAGAAACTTAAAACATGGTACATTTTTGCAAGGAAATGCGGTTTTTGCAATTATGGGGCGCAGCCTAATTGCAAAATCGATATTTCTTTATACAAATTTAACATTTTAATCATGTTTTAAGTTCATGTTATGAAAACATTTCTACAAATATTAAAACAAAAAGGTAAAATGTAGCCCCGCCCACCCGCCCTATCTCAATTGTAATGATTGTTTTTATTCGCCGTAAACCAAGGGGGCAGAGCTTAACTGCAAAATACTCATTTCTTTACGCGAAATTAAAAACGTGTTTTTGAGTATCGTGTTGTTCAAAGAATACTATGCATATTAAGAAAAAAAGACAAAATATGGACCCCGCCCACCCTCCTCATCTCAATTGTGATGATTTTTTGTATTCTTAGAAATTTGAAACACATGGTAAAGTTTTGCAAGAAAATATGGATTTTCCGCCCCTAGGTGTGCCAACTAATGAGAATTTCATTGCTATTTAGATGAGGGCAAATATGAGTGGCGCTTAATCTTTCGTTTCAATTTTTTTTTAATATACATAGTATTCTTTGAACAACACGATACTCAAAAACATGTTTTTAATTTCTTTTAGAGAAATTAGGATTTTGCAGTTAGCTCCGCCTTCTTGGCTTAGGACGAATAAAAAAAAAGCATCACAATTGAGATGGGGTGGGTGGGCGGGGCTCCATTTAGCCTTTTTTTTCTTAATATGTGTAGACTAATTTCGACAACAAGAAACTTAAAACATGTCTAAAATGGAAATTTTTTTGGTAATCAATTTAAATCCTCCACTTTTCTTCTACAACCGAGTTAAATTTATTTATTTACTTTACGAGATGCACCCTATAAACAAATAAAGTATTTATCTAATGAGTGTTAAGAAAGTATTACATTTAAATCTAAATCTAAATAAGAATTAATAAAAAAAATACATGAAAAGGGATTATTAAGAAAATTAAATAAAAATAAAAAAAATATAATATTACAACAGCTTAGAAGTCTTCAGTTGGCTTTTAAAACGATTTCTTGATGTCCCAAACAATTCCACTTCATCATTATGTGTATTTGCCAATCTTGACAATCTACCACTAGGCGAAAAAAAAACATAATTAGTTTGGTATTAGCGGAGTCTACCTTAATATTTAAAACAATATTTTCAACCCATCACTTGGTGTTAGCGCGGGCATAACATTCCACACCTCTGCCCGGTCGCTTCTTTAATAATAATAATAAAAACGTTATATGGACCGCGGGCATAATTAGGAGATTATGGCCCTCGGGAAATTAAACATTTGCTCGTCCTATAATCGTCTAATTATGCTCTTAATACATAAATAACTGTACTATTATCACTTTCACGCTTATTGCTACATTGTCATAAATTCTGTTTTCATTTTATATTCCAGAACGAAACCAAAGCCACTTTTCACAGCGTCCAACTGGGTGACTTCTATCAAATCTCACTAAGGGCATGCTCTCCGGCGGGCTGCAGCGATCAAGTCGTAGACGATCGCCACAAAATAATTTCAATTAATGTCTCGTCGCATAAGCAGTTGATGGTTGTGACTTTCGTTTTAGTTCCTCTTGTTAGTATCTTATTGGGAATAATAATAATTATGTACTACCGGAGCAGGCAAAAACAACAGGAAGAACGAGATAAATATTTTACGGTAAGACAGAAATAAAAATTTAAGGTTTTATCACAGGAGTTTGTTTTTAGGGACTAGATGAAGAGAAACTACCAGAATCCACTGATAACCTAGAAATAAATTTAATTAAACAAGACGTTCCTGATCAGTGGGAACTGGATCCGTGCAAATTGTGCTTTCAGAGTATCGTAGGGGAAGGAGCTTTTGGAATTGTACGGAAAGCTTACTTAGAGACCGAAAGTAATACAAAAATACAAGTTGCGATTAAGATGTTAAAAGGTTTCAATGCATATAAGTACCATAAAATTGTATAACTTACCTTAATTTTTTAGAATCTCCTACTGCGGATGAAATACGACAGTTTACACAAGAAATTAATATAATGAAGTCCGTTAGACAGCATCCGTATATCGTTTCTCTAATTGGGTGCATAACAGAAGGACGTCCTGAAGGGCCTTTACTTGTGGTGGAGTACTGTTCAAGAGGCGACTTACAAACTTATTTGAGAAAAGCCTGGGATAAATTCTGCAGCATGTTAGTATAAACGTCATCACACAAAAAATTGTATCTAAATGTGTAACAAATTGCAGACAACAAGAAATGATTAATCTTGAAGAAAACCTAAACAACCAAAAAAATTACTTTGAAAATAAAACATATGACATCAATTTGGGAGACAAATTTATAATTCAACCAAAACATTTATTATCAATTGCACGTCAGGTAGCACTGGGTATGGTAAGTACCGATTCTCCACTTCACTGTATAATTGGTGGTCTGTAAAAGTGAAGCAAATTGTTAATTTCAGGAACATCTAGCAAAAACGCGGGTAGTCCATAGAGATCTAGCTGCACGAAATGTTTTGGTTTGTGAAAATCATACCGTGAAAGTGTCCGATTTTGGTTTAAGTCGAGATGTGTACAGAGATAACGTCTACTGCAAAAGTGGGGGCGGTAAACTGCCGATCAGATGGATGGCCCTCGAATCCTTAACTCACCAGAGATACACAACGTATAGTGACGTATGGTCTTTTGGAATTTTGTTGTGGGAAATAGTTACATTAGGAGGTACCCCATATGTGGGGGTTCACTCTTCAGATTTATTGGAATTTCTTAAGAATGGAAATCGTTTGGGTCGTCCGTCTAATTGCAGCCAAGAATTGTAAGTATATTAATTTAATTTAATTTAACTTGATTTAATTGAAAACAATTTTAAGGTACGCAATAATGCAGAGTTGTTGGAAAGCCTCACCTAAGAACCGACCGACGTTTACAGATCTGCGTAAACTCTTAGAAGATTTATTGGAGAATGTTTCCCATTATCTACGAGTAGAAAACGCAGATTTGTTAGTGAGCTGTGGTGACAACACGAAATTGAATTCCAATAAATCAGACCAAAGATTATATTCTAGTGAAAGTTATATCCAACCTGTGAATACTTTGAGATGAAAAAATAGTTAGGAATTTTGTCTGTAGTGGACCATTAACAGTTCAGACGATTTTGTTTTGTTTTTAAACACTTGTGGTGCCTCATGTCGACTCATTTGTGCATATGTGTGGGATATTATGTGACAAATTATACATATATGAATAAGTTAACCAATTTAATAATGTACCTGTGACCAAAGTTCAACAATGTGTGATCAAATAACATAAACTAAATATGTATATGTAGTCTTACGTTAAAATTGAATTCTCATTGTGAAATGAAAGTTATGACTGATACAGCTGTGACTGTGGTAATGTTTTTATGCACAATATAATTATTTCTTGATATTATACGTTTTTTATTTATTTCTGCTTGAAAGGTGTCGACATATAAGGTAGGTACTGTATTAATAAAATTCAACTAATACAGATTTCCTGAAACCTTAGTGGTATAGATGGAGACTTAAGAACTGTTATGCATGTGCCGCTAATCACCAAAATGATTTGAACTCTTTTGAAATGTCAAAATACGCTAGAGCATTACGGGTTGCAGTGTTATCGAGCATCTGTGAACGCTACTACGGTACATTTGACATTCAAAAATTGTAAATTATCACAAAAGCGTTTAATTTTTAGTAAAGAGGCAAAAAAAAGGAAGAAAAGGAGGACAAATGGAACGAAACAAGGCAAAGGAAAAGAAATAAAGGATGCAGATAGGGAAATCGGAAAAAGGGAAGCTGGTACAAAATTAGGAGAACAAGGGGTGAAGGTACTGTTTTGGAATGTCCAAGGGTTGCGAAAAAAGGAAAAGGAATTTTGGGACTACGTGGGAAAATTTGATGCCCTAGGCCAGTGCCTAGTGTGCCTTATTATAAATCCAAAGCTGATGTGAAGAAATAGAGAGAATGAGAGAAATGAGAAGGAGTATGAAAGAAGAACTGAGTGTAAGAGATAAGGATATAGATAAGCAAGAACGCAGATCGAGAATATCGGAGTCTAGATATAATGTAGAGTATAGAAAAATAGTAAATGATGAAGTACCAAAAGTAAGCAGACAGAGAGAGTATAGAGGAGAAAAGAATGATGGGAGATTTACGTGTGGAAATGAAGAGAAAGAGAATAATTTTTGGATGGATGAAACTGACAGAAGCTGTAGGATATGTTGGAGAGAGGCAGAAACAATAGAGCATATGATGGTAGGATGTGAAAGATTGAGAGAATCGAAGGAAATTACGGAAGAAGTGCTAAACTAAAACTAAAAAAAGGAAAGATGGCGTCGGCGAGTCGCATACAGTGTTGTCTTCTAAAACAAATGATGATTGATAATTTTAAGCAATGCAGAAAATGTAAAAACAAAGTGTCTAATGCCTGGTCATGTGTTAAGTGTCATACGTACTTTCATAAAAGCTGTGCTTTAGTGGTACAAGAAAGGAATAACAATCTTATTTTTCTGTCGAATTGAGCTAGTATGTGATAAGTGCTGTGGTGATTCGAATGAATCTGTAAGTTCCAATAGTAGTGATGAATTTTCCAATCTGTTAAATAAAATGGTCGACAAGGCTGTCTCCTCTAATGATCGAAATTAAAAAAACTTAGAGATGAGGTTCAGATTCTAAAATCAAGTACCTATTATCGAGATGGCGAAGATGTCAACAAGAGAAACCCCGTATAGTTCTTTAAAACTGCCTTGTTGGGATGATGATCGTTTATCTGAAAAATCATCAGTTTTATCTAGTAATGAAATTGAAGGTAATGTCTTCACAATTAGTGGTAATAGTGACAAGAAAGGTCCTCAGAAAAACCTGGATAAAACATCGTTTAAAAGAAATGTAAACCTTCGCTCAGCTGTTGTGGAAGATAATTAAAACGTGTATGAACCCAATAAAAATGCTCCAGTTAAGTCCAATATTACCAATGCTACCAGTAAAACGAGGGTAATGAAGACCTTGATAATTGGTACTTCTCAAGTCAGCAATGAAAATGGAGATGCTCTTGAAGATCGTAGTAATGAGTTTGTTGCTGTCACTAGGCGACGAAAAAGGGACATTCATGTCACAAAAGTAAATCCTGGGGTTAATATTAGTAGGATTGAAGATTATATTAGGAATAAATTACAGTGTGTTTGTAGCGCAAATGACAATATGGACAATATTTAATCCTTTGAACTCAAACAATTACATTTTAAGTTCCCTGATAAATACAGTTCTTTTAAATTATCAATCGATTTCTCATTAATTGAAAAAGTTTTGGATCCATCTTTTTGGCCAATCGGTATTGCTGTTCGTAAATATTTTAGTCCTCGTAGTGTACGAAGACAATCAAATTTTCAAAAACGTCCAGATCATCAAACTCAGAGTTAACTATCTATTATCAGAATGTTAGAGGGTTGAGAACTAAAATCAGTGATTTATATTCTAGTGCATTGTGCGAAAACTATCCGATAATTTCATTAACAGAAACTTGGCTTAATGACACATTTTTTAATAGGGAAATTATAGATGATAGACATGTTGTTTACAGAAAGGATAGATCCTTTTTAGAGACGAATAAAGAACTTGGTGGTGGTGTAATGATAGCTGTTATAAAGAATATTCCTTCTATTTTACTGCAAATTGATACTCTTCAAAGAGAAGAAGTTTGGATACTAATCTCGTTTAATGGCATTCAAATTATAATTGGAACTGTGTATTTTCCTCGTAATTCACCCTTAGCTGTGTATTCTGACCATATATCTTTGGTTTGATTCTTTAATTGCTGATTATCCTGAAACTACAGTATGTATTGTTGGTGATTACAATTTGCCTGGATTGAGCTGGAAAAGTGATACAAATTGTAATTATTTAATACCTGTTAACGTTGTTTCAATGATTGAAGAATTAATTTGTGACAATTTCGCTGTGAGTGGTCTTTTTCAATACAACTTTATATTGAATGGAAATGATGTAATTTTGGATTTAAGCTTTAGTAATACTGCACTTATCATTGAAGAATGTTTATCCTTATTACCAAAAGATATAAATCATCCTGCCTTTATTATTAAAATTAGTGACATATCCTTGCCTCTTTACTAGATCGTACTATATACACATCTTATTTGGATTTTAAGAACTCGTCATTTGATGTAATTAATACCTACCTGGAACAAATTGATTGGTTTATAATGGATTTTTTTTTTATCTGATGATTGTATGTATTATTTTTATTCTCACATAAATTCTCTTATAACTCGTTTTGTTCCTATTCTTGTTAAAAAAACTCAGAACAATTTTCCTTATTGGGTTGATAACCATACAAGATCTCTTATTGTGAAAAAAAAAAGAAGTTCATAGGAATTTTAAGGTAACTGGATTATATTCAGATTACGTAAAGTTTTGTGATCTTAGACGTACATGTAAGTTGGCTATGAACTTGTGTAGGAAAAATCATATTCGAAGTGTTGAGCAGAATATTATTGTTAATAGTAATGGTTTTTGGTCATTTGTCAAGAAATCAAAATCTAATACAGTGGGGTTCCCCTGTTCTATGTTCTTAGGTGATATCATAGCTGATTCTTCTAAATCCATTGCAGATTTGTTTGCTACTTATTTTCAAACTGTATATACGGTAGCTGATACTGATGTTAATATGAGTTCATCAAATTGGAAAGACAATCTTGTTGATATTAATTCATTTGAAATATCCACCGGCCTTGTTTTGTCTAAATTACTTTCCTTAGATTCTTCTGTTAAAATAGGTCCAGATGGTATTCCATCACTATTTTTAAAACAATGTGCTCACAATTTACGTTTTCCCCTACAAATATTATATAAAAGATCTTTACAATTATCCAAAGTTCCTACGCTATGGAAAATTTCTTGTGTTACACCTATTTATAAGAAAGGTCATCGTAGTGATATTTCAAACTATAGACCTATTAGTATTGGTTCACCTATAGCCAAAATATTTGATTCAATTACATGTGACATTTTGTCTTTCCATGTAAAAATTATCATCCTAGATGAACAGCATGGTTTCTTTAAAGGGCGTTCGACAACTTCTAATTTAATGATATTTACTAATTATATAGTTAATAATATGGAAAATGGTTACGATACTGATTGTATTTACACTGATTTGGCAAAAGCTTTTGTTAGGGTGAATATTCGTATTCTACTATTAAAATTGGCTAAGATTGGAATTGGTGATCCTTTACTATCATGGATAGATTCATATCTAAGTAATCGAAGGCAATTTGTAATTATAAATGGGTTTAAATCAAAATGTATAATTCCATCTTCCGGTGTTCCGCAAGGTTCCCATTTAGGGCCCTTGCTTTTCTCTCTATTTATAAATGATATCAAAGATGTTATAAAATCTAGTCAGTTTTTACTATCTGCAGATGATTTAAAAATCTTTAAAAAAATTATTTGCCCCTCTGATTGTCATATGATACAATCTGATTTGAACTTTTTAGAATTTTGGTGTAAGAAAAATGGACTAGAATTTAAGATACCTAAGTGTAAGGTTTTAAGATTTAGTCGCAAATTATGTTCTGAACATTATAATTATACATTGTTTCTATTCTTCTTGAAAATGTGACCAGTTTTTGTGATTTAGGAATTACTATTGATAGTAAACTCTCTTTTACTTTTCACATAAATAATATTGTTTCTAAAGCAAATAAAATGTTAGGATTAGTAAAAAGAACCTGTAGTGAGTTCTCAAATCTTCAATCCTCGAATACGGTGTTACTATATGGTCTCCTTATTATAAGATGCACAGTCAAAGAATTGAAAAAATAAAAAAAAAAAATCGTCAAATTTCTGTGCTATAAGTTCAATATATTTTTCAATAACTATAATTATACTATGATAATAAGTTATTTTGGGCTTACGTTACTTTCTAAGACAAGAATAATGTTTGACTAGCTGACCCCGTGAACTCCGTTTCACCTACAACTTAATTTTGAATCTGCAAAATCGAATGCTTTGAAATCTTGCAGATGTTTTAAACATATGATAAGCATAATAAATTTTTATTCAAAATATATTTACTTATCCCCTCCAAAAAATTGATGACGTCAGCCCAAAATTTTGCCAAATGAATCCTATCTAAAATGTCCAAAATAGGATGAGACTATACTTGTGATTTATCATTCCATTCATATTTTTTAGTTTTGCTTATAGGGGGTGTCTCAAAAAAATTAATAACTGAGTCAATTTATTTTATTGATTGAATCAAGAATTGCAAAACTGAATTTTGAAATATTGAAGTTACTGTTTGACATGGTCGGTTTTCAATCAAAATATATCTGTTTATCAAGCCCAAAAACTTGAAGACGTCATCTCAAGATTTTGCAAAATAAATCCT